GTACAGACCGCCAGGCTCTGAAGTGCAGCACGAATTTACGAACATCCGTTCGAAGAGTGATTTACAGCTCTTCGAAGTGGGGAATAGAATCCACGAAGAAGTTACGGACACCAGTCCAGAAAAAGAGGAACATCAGTCTCCTGAAATAACCTCATCTTTAAGCGCGGTGATAAAGGTGTTACTTGTGCGATCATCTTTGTGTTCGAGAAATTTACCGCAGTGAGCGTATGGGACAATCATTGTCCGAAGATCATCAGATCATTGTGATGTGTAGGGCATTGAAAAAGTGATATGTGGGTGATCACCCTTGTGATCAAGAAAATTTAGATCATCAGATCTTGTGTGTGTGCGTTATAGGTGCCTGGATCACCAGTGTCCATAAAATCTTAAATTGTGAGAAGTGAAGTCTCCAATCCAGACGGGTAAGTACCTTGGATTTTTATATTGAGGCAGTAAAGTAATTTAATTTATTTCTGTAAATCAGTATGTAAGTTCCTACAACTGTTTTAAGTCAACTTGTTCCTGTAAAGCTTAAAGAAATGTGCTTTTTGGGTTTTATGTTACAATAAGAAAGTATAAAATTTAGAATTTAAACCTGTGTTAATAGATTTTTTTTTATATCTGAAATGTTAATGTGTTGTGCTTAAATTAAACTTATATATTGGATTGTGTAAAGGAGTAGAATTACTGTAACTTGAAGATTTTAATGTTAGGTGGCATTCTGACATATCATTTCTAAGACGTTTTGAATGTTATAAATATTAGAATTTCAGTTAAGGTGTGTCAAACTTTTATTTGTGTAAGAACTGAGAATTTTTTTTTTTTTTTTCTATTGAAGGAGTAAAAGGGGAATGATAAAACCCCCAGTATCTTTCCTTTTAACTGTTGTCATATTAATGTTAATTACTAGCATATGGATAGGTATTGTGTAATTTATTGTATTTCTGAATGTATATTTTAACATATCCCAAATTTTGAGGAAAGTATATTGAATTATCATAAGCAAGTGTGTTTTACGCAACTGAATTTAAAGCTTTTCAGAGGATAATATTATTTGCAGTTTCATACGTCCTCAAGTAGACAATTTTTGTTTTTATTTTTAAATGCAATGTGCATATTATAGTGTAAACTGTCTTGTTCTTTGTCTAACATCTGTAAAATAGGTTGTGAAAAAAATTATAAAATTTTAATTTTTACTCTCTCTTGTGAAAATGATATCTGTTTAAATCAATTGTATGTATCTGTAGCGTGAGGGAGCTAAAATTGTTAGGATCATAATTTTGGTTATATCATGGCATTCTTAGCAAAAGTTAGGAAAGAGGATCTTAAATCCTTGGCTGAAGAGTTAGGGGAAAAAGTTAGCCCTGAACTTAGGATATTGGGTTTAAGACAGCTGATTATGGGAAATAATCCTATGAGGAGGAACTAGTGAAAGGCCTGTTAGAAAATATCACTTCAACGAGGCTTGAGAGAGAAAAAAAGGAGCAGGAGAGAATTAGGAAAGAAGATGAAGAAAGGCAGGATAGAATTAGAAGAGAAGAAATGGAATTTGAATTATCCAAGTTACGTTTACTAGCCGCTAACGGAAATGACGCTGGAAATGGTGGGAATGAAGGAAATGGACTAAAAAAAAGCCGATACGATCTAAAAAAAATGATGCCAAAATTTGATCCTGAAGAGAACGATATCAGTTTGTATCTAGTCATGTTTGAGCGCCAAGCAAAGCGTGCAAATCTTCACCAGTCAGAATGGAATGGGTTTCGGTTTTATTTATTGACAATTTTGCCAACGGACATAGTTCAGCTGATTATGCGAGAACCAGAACAGCAGGCTTATGATTACGCTTATATAAAAGGGATACTGCTTAAAAGGTTCAAACTTAGTCCAGAAAAATTTCGCATCAAATTCGTGCAATCTCAGAAACACCCCCAAACCACTTGGAGAGATTTTGCCTTTGAATTAAGGAATTACTTTGAAGAATGGATTGCAGGTTTGGAAGTTACGTATTTTGAACTTTTAAAAGAGCTCATGATAACGGACCAAATGAAGCGTCGTGTAAATGCCGAAGTGCGACAACTTTTAAAGGAGCTCATGATAACGGACCAAATGAAGCATCGTGTGAATGCCGAAGTGCGGCAACATTTTATTGACGAATGGTCGAAGATAACGACTCCAGAGTAATTAGCGGAAATGCTGGAAGAATATGAAAATGTGCGTGAACCCCGGAAGATCTCTCCTGTTCATAGTTCGGAGTCACAAAGGGGAAATACAAATAATTTAAATTCGAGGGATCCGAAAAAGTATCACCAGTATGGAGGGGAAGATAGATATGCCTCTGAAAGAAAGGAACATCTCTGGAATCAGGATGAGCGTCAATTTGATATGAGAAGACCAATTAAGTGTTATTTCTGCAGTTCCACCGAACACTTAAGGCCTCAATGCCCGAAAGTTCAAAAAGATTTCAAATCGCCAGCTGTAGTAAATAGGGTACAGGAAATTGAAGAAGATTGTTTAGCCCCGTATCTAACGATGGCTAAAGTGAACGGTTTTGATCTTCCAGTTTTGAGAGATACCGGGTCATGCATTGACGTAATTTGCAAGAAATATCTCACTCCTTCGATGCTGACGGGCGAGACTGTTTGTGTAAAACACCCGTTTGATGAGGCCCCAATTTGTGTACCCTTAGCAAACATTACAATAGAAGGAACTTTTGGCCAAGTAACAACAAAAGCAGTGGTCACTCGAAATGAATTGGAACATTATCTGTTAGGAAACAGAACCGCCGAAAAATTAGCCGTAGATCAACAGGATAAACTTTTCTTTCAGGTGAAAACAGGTATTCGAGCTCCGAGTCAATCAAAGAATGAAATGGGGGAAAGTTGTCCACTGGAGTCTGAACGCGGCGAACTCGAACCCTCAAGCGAAGTTTCTCCCCTCATTATAGAAAGGGGTGAAAGTCTTGTCTCAAACACAAAGGATAGAGAAAACCAATTTCTTTCTGCCTGAAACGAAAGTGAAATGAACTATCACTGCCTACAATAAAATATTCTTTTATGTCGCCGACCTACAAAAGAAAAGTGACGTTGTAAAGCCATCTTGTGACTTAGTCGCGTTAAACGATCACAGTAACTCTTTGGGGAAAGGTGTACAAGTTAAGAATTACCTTTTTCGGTTCGGCACGAACAAGAAACTGTAGATAAGCTAAATGACGTTTTGTACCAACCAGACTCCGGAGGTTTGCGAATGCCTAAGAAATTCCGTAGGAGAATTGCCCAAGACACCTAGTAGTGTAAATTTACCAAGGAAAGTAGAAGAATCCCCAGTTCATTTAGTTTATCAGTTTTATCTATACTAGTGCCTGATACTGAGCGGTCAAAGGGGATTAAATATAGCTACTTCATGAATGATGTAAATCCAACTTGTAATGAAGTGGTTTTCTCTGATGTTAAAGCCACATTCACGTGGGAATTGTTTTTTCATATGACAAGAAACCATGCATTATGGACAAATTAATATTGACAAACTCTCAGATTCAGAAACTTTGGATATGATGTACCGGAAAGTATCTGTTGAATTTGACAAAAAATTTCACACAGTGACAAAGTTGAATTTTACGAACAGATAACTATAGCTCATAATTCTTCCAACACCATGTACATGGTAAAACAAGGCAAGTTATTGGAAAAACTCTCGAGAAAACCATTTTCATGTGTAACAGAATTTGAACACCCTCTGTAACATATTTAACACTCCAATGATCAATTATGTAATAGGACTTTGTTAAAAAAAAAGAAAAAATGCACACGATACATAGTAGAAATGCCGAACATTATGAGAGAATGAGAGAAATAATGAAGGACTCAGCTTGCTTCAATCAGCCTGATTGATGCAAGGATGCATACTACACTGTACTTAACACATATCCTCAAATATTCATCATCACATGATCTAAAAGCTCCAGTATGTTATGAATTACCATTCACTAACTGGCATAACCACCATCTATTTAAGGGAAAAAAACACTGTCTACTCAGCCATGAGAAAAGAGTTCCAAATTATATATCACAGTTGTTCAGCCATCTCATTTACCCAAACAGTCCCTTAGCTGAACGTATGTCTTTCTTTCAGAGTAAGCAAACAAACATGCATTCTCTAAACAGTATGTGACATCCACGGAGATCTTATCTTCCAAATAAATAGTATAACAACTCTCCATACTATCACAACTCCCACTAATGCCCGTTCCATGATTCAAAGCAAACTTCATATATGTAAAATTGATTACAATTAATTTTAAAGGAATGCTAACTAAGAGCAATATTTACTAATTCTTGTTACACAAGAAATTCTCTTATGAAAGGAAGGTTTAGAGCAGCATATGCTTAGGTTTACTGCAACAGTTTAGAATTATCTTCCATTCAGGGTAAGATGAAAATCCATCATCATCATCATTTTCTCCACCGCCAAATTTAAAGACTGCATTGAAATGCATTTTCACAATGTTTTGTACACAATACAGAAATGTGAAATATTTTTAAATATTTAGAATGGAAAAAAAATGTGATATTAGTTATGCACATGGTATTCTAGCTTTCGGTTGCGATATGAAATATAATATTCAGTCACATTCATTTTAACACCTGCAGCTTGACATTTCCTCCTTCCTCACCAAAAGAAAACCTCCTATATAATTACCATAAAAGTACGGTTTTCCCCCCCTTCCACATGGCTCCATGAAAATATGTACTCATACCTACAAATCCAACTCAATTGCATGTTTATCAACATTTGCATTGCAGCAAAAGACAATATTTTGATATCACCTCAATTTTTAGCATAAAATAACAAGAAGATAATTAGCGATGCAATAGCTTGAGAACTGTAAATATAGTCAGAAAAACGCTGAATTGATGATAAAGCATACTTTAGTTAGAAGTAATTCATATTCTATCAATCATATTTGTATGTACCTTATGAATTAAAAATACATAATTCCATTATTTTTGTAGAGCTAAATTATTGTAATTTATTAATAAATCATGCTCAAATATATCTTTTATGAACTGTAATAAAAATTACACATTACATGTTGAGCTTGGATAATCAAGATTCTACTGCTGCTGCAAATGCCAAGCATTTAGCATAAATTTAAATATTAGAGTATAATAATAAAATCAAATATGATCAATAATTTACATCTTAAATTTCTTTTTTTAAATACAATACACTGGCAAATACTTCAAAAAAATCATTCAAAAATAACAAACAAAAATTATATTTGAAATATAATTTTTGTTTGTTGTACAGTACTGAAAGCCACCAGGCTTTCAGTATTAATTTTCAGAAACACTTTGTTAAACATTACAATTGTTACAAACCATAAATTGACCAAATATAGGTTACTGCATTACATCAAAAGAAAATATTTAAATGTTGTTTGTTTTTTAGCTAGAAGTAACAGCAAGAGAACTATATGTGAAAAGCTTAAAGAACTGTACACATATAACTATGAATTTCATGAGGTCCACTTAGGAGCCTTGTTAAAGTAGTCTGCTGAGCCCAATTACCCCTAAAAGCAATAGCATCTCCCATCTGCCTGCCAAAGTACTAGGCATGAGGTGGAGGATAATGCCAGGAAAAGGCACAGTAGATTTGACTCTCAAGATCGCCAAAAAGTTCAGGGACTTTCCTCTCAAGTCCTACTAGTTGCCTCAATGTGGCCTGGGGGGTGACAAAGAGTGAAGTACATCAGAGTTTCTCCTGGTAGGGCCACCCTAGGCATGAAGCCTCTTTACCCATTTAAATCTAATAGGCGAAGTCAGCTATCTACCTTTTGGTGCTCCATGTCTCTTGATGAACAGAAGCGGTACCACTCTCCTTTTTCCATGAACAAGACTTCCAATGAACCAAATTGTTCATTTTTAACATAACACTGAATGGACACTAAGTGGTTTTATTTCAATAATGTTTTCATCTCTAAATTTAAAATATTTGAGCTTTATTACTTTGCAAATATAAACAGTAATACTACTATATATTTCTAAAAAGTTGTACCACAAACTCTTTTCTTCCCCACTTTACATCACGTTTCTCATGTTTTATTTTATTTTTTGCAGAAATTGGCAGTTTGGCAATTAAAGATATGTCAGGCAAGACGAAGATATCATGTAAGTTCCATGCTCTTGAATGAAAAATCATTCAAGTTACATGAGTCTTTATAGTTGTCAATTTTTTTTTTGCCACTATATATCCACAGCACCATAGCCAGTTTTCTCACCAGCAAATCTTCTTGCCACAGAACTAGGACACCTACATTAAGGGTAGGGTAGTGAACCTATCCTCAATATTTCATATTGTTAACATTCCATGACTGCCAGAATATTATGAATAGGCCCTCCTAACTGGAATACCACAAGTCTGTTTACAAAAAAAGACAAGAGAGGGGCATTGACATCACTTTCAGTCATGACGCCACAAAATAATAACTAACAGTTAATCAGCCACCAAATTTGCACAAACAGTTCATACATGACAGGAATTGTCACTTGTTCTGAAAACCAATTCTAAACAAAATGTTTACAAAACACCAGAACTGTTGGTATGGAATTCTGATTCCCACAACAGTTTTAATGGGAAAATTCAAAAAAGAAAGAATTTTGCTTTTTTCACTCGAAAATCATGATTCTATAGATTGTAAATTAGGTAAAAATATATCATTAGATCAAAGAAGCTTATTATTGTACTATAGAATGGAATGTGTTTTAAATGTTTAATTCCAAGCTACATCTAAAGCTTGAAACAAATTAGTTACATGCACAACATTATTTATCAATTACTATCTGTTTATGGGCTCCAGCATTAATGCATTTTAATAAACTGAAAAGGATTTCCATAAGCTGACAGCTGAACACAAAATCTTCGAGAAAAATCAAGTATAACAGATTCACTGATGGAAACTTTGAGGATCCAAATATAAAGAAAGGACAAAGTTTAGTCTGAGCTCTTGCAGACCCTAGAGCTCAAAGACCGTGTGTATTATGATGGCATTTACATCAGATATGGAGCATGAAACAGAGACATCAAATCTTGATTTGTACTGAGAGCAATTCTAATGCACTCACCTAGGGAAAGATGTTACAAGTTGCAAACCATCTCAATAAACAACAAAAGGTTTCAATACACGAACTTTGTTTTGGTTTTTAGCAGAAAAAGAACAGATTATGTGAGCAGTTTAACATGTTGACTGCCAACTATGTGATAACTTGTAGATTACATTCTTTTCTAGGACGCCAATTACGAGTTATATCGTACTGTGTTTACTTGCAAATTTTGTGCAGCTACGATTAAACTCAGAATATATCAGTGCTAATATCAATAGATAGCTTCTGAGAAAAGAACAAAAAATCAATGCTGGCTTGCACGAACAGAAAATTTATTAAAAAATGAACAAAAAATATAATTATAAAAATTAATAACATATGATTAAATCGATTTGGCTTCTCAGACCAGAATTCGAAAAGTGCCATGGCAGTCAACGTGTTAAGAAATAGAAATATATAATTATGAACATTACAAATATATAATCATGACACATATTTTATACACTTTATCCTCAATGGAACAAAACCCAAGAAACAGACACTCTTATTACATTAAGTAATTTCACTGAATATTTCCTCTAAAATGAATTTATCAAGCTCTTAGCCACATTATAAAAATTATATATTACAAGTCAAAAATACTTTTAACCAAATTTCTCTTCTTATTTCAAAGAAGCATAGCACTTGTAAAGTGTTTTTAATATCAGGTATTCAACTGGTATGCTACTTTCGGTAGTAAAATTTACAAAAATATGAAAGTACAAAACCTCGAGTTACTCAAATGACTTAGCAACAGTGGATCACAATTAATATTACATAGGAAAAATAACTTTTAAAAGATTCAACAAAATAATCCATACATTCATTTTTTAGCACACTTGTTTCATTATCTATTATGTCATCTCCATTGGGCTAGTTGGGCATTTATTTGTGCTAACAAACTTTTGCATAAATACATAGCAAATAGCTGTAAAAAATAAAATTATTTTATTAAGAAAATGCATTTCAGTTATGTTTCAGATGAATAAATCATACTTATTATAAAAATGTGTTTTCACAAAATACAGCAGCATTCAAAACTTTAGACAATGAAAATTTTGTTTGATGCAAACATGTTAATTTTAAGATTTGGGAATCAGTATGCTTTACATTAACCAATAATGCATCTTATGCAATGAAATTTGAATGTGAGAATAGTTTGTAGAATAAATACTAGTTTCTGTTGCTCAAGATTCAAAAACCTTTTGATATGTACAGTTTAAGATGCACAAAACAAATAAGTAATGTTCCAAACAAATAAGTTTGTTGTTTGACTTCTGAATAAGTAATGTTCCTTTTGCACTTTTTGTTATGACATATTATTTAAGTTTAAAATACGCGTTAATAAAGAAATGTGTTTTAACTGAAGTTCAGCATCTTAAGCTACGAAATTTGATGCCAGTTACCTTTTTAAATTTCATTCTCATTTTAATGCTATAAAGTGCAACTTTTTTCCTCCTCACTGCTGACATAGAATCATACAAACTAACAGGTTTCTTATTATTAAAAATGTTAACATAAGGCTTTAAGTACAAAGGTCAAATATAAAGGGGCATTACAAAGCTTAATTTCCACCTTCAGATGTCCAGTTATTAAAAAGAAACCCAGCCAAATGTCAGAGAGAGTAAAAAGTCTTTAATCTGGACTTCGGAGATTCCAAATTATCGATTTTTCTGGATTATAGATCATCAGTTTAAATCTGGTAAGATGGCATGCAGAAATTATAAAATTAAAAATATGAAACCGTAATTTATGAAATAAAGAGCAATTATGATCTAAAAAGTATCAAAATAAAAAAAAAAAAAAAAAAAAAAAAAAGAGACAGAAAGCAGCTTAATACTTATTTGTTTACTTTATTAAAAATTTCTTTCAATGCGCGCATGTGTAAAGCATATATTACGCATAGTCGAAATTAGAAAATTGCAACCAGAAAACTATTTGATGTGTATCCGTGATATTTATAATGACGAGGAATTTGATTTAAATCATATCAAAGACGGAGTACATCGAGATGAAATACTACATTTAGTGAGGAATTATAAGCCGAACAAAATAAAAACATCTGCCCTGAAGATAAGGAGAGTGCTGGCAGATCAACTTCCAGTTCATTAAGTGTCGCGACGTTTCTCCCCCCTTCGCAGAGCAACGTGAAATTGATAAACAGATTTCGGAATGGTTAAAGAAACAAAGGATATGGCCTTCATCCATTTTTTGCAGCAATTCCACTTTTTGTTTGATGGACATCGAAACATGCTTTTGCTTTGTAGATCCTTTGGCAGCTCCAGAATCGGAAATTCTTTTTGACATAATCGAAAGTTCAGCTCTAACAGTCTGCAAAAAATAATAAGCCGGATCCAAATCGAAGATTAAGGAACAACGCAATTTGCAACATTACCTGAAATAGTTAATTAGATAATTTTAGCTTAGCTTATACCGCACGTTATACATTAAACGCGCATGGGTAAAGGTATTATGCGCATGCGCAAACGCATTATGCGTTTATGCATGTGCAGAAAGTTTGTAGCTTTGAGGTCCGGATTATAGATCATTCCAGATTATGGACGTCTGGATTAAAAACGTTTGACTGTAATAGCCAAGCATATCAGCCAGAGGCATGATGGCATATTTTGGAGAGAAAAGATATTCTATTCATATTTGTGAGCACACAAATGTGTCTTCTATAACGAAGCAGATACATCCATCCTCCTTTAGAGATTCTGCCTCCCTGTTTAATATATATATATATCTGCTGCGACATTTGCTTGTAAAACTGAGACTATTACCAGTCCAGAATTATAGTGTTTTACCATGAAATTGCTGTAATGTTATTCTTTGATAAGAATGAATAAAAAAAAATTAACTGGTAAATGCTTTCTTTTCCAAATAAGGCACTGCCAAAAAAAATATATGTATATATATATATTAGAAAAGAAATTAGCTCCCTTCAAACAAATTTAATTTCATAAACTGAAGCTCGTATTTATTCCAAGAATCATGTGTTTTGTACATAAATATGGTTTCTATATCAATTTAAAAGTTGAAAAACAGGAATTTTTAGTGATACAGTCAAAAGTCGTTAATCTGGACTCCTCGGGACTTCGGCGATTCCAGATTATCGATTTTTTCGTATTATAGATCATCAGTTTAAATCTGGTAAGATGGCATGCAGAAATTATAAAATTAAAAATATGAAACCATAATTTATGAAATAAAGAACAATTATGATCTAAACGGTATCAAAATTTACAAAAAAAAAAAAAAAAAAAAGCTTTATATTTATTTGTTTACTTTATTAAACATTTCTATCAATATAAGTTGTTTAAGTTGCTTCGTTTTTTATGTGATAATACATTCTCTTTAATTCTATAAACAGACATAATTTCTTGTTCAGTTACAAAGTTCCGCTGCTCAAGTCCTATAATTGCTGTGTCTACCGACTAATTTGTCAATCAAAATTTTTTCGTTTTCAATAACCTCTGTTACTTTCTTCGCTATCGGAAGCGAATTATAATGATGAGGAATTTGATTTAAATCATATCAAAGACGGAGTACATCGAGATGAAATACTACATTTAGTAAGGAATTATAAGCGAAATAAAATTAAAAACATCTGCCCTGAAGATTAGGATAGTGGTGACAGATCAACTTCCAATTCATTGTGCGCCGCTGCGTTAAAAAGTTTAGATAAACAAAAGATATGCCTTTATCCATTTTTTGCAGCAATTCCACTTTTTGTTTAATGGAGTTCGAAACATTCGCTTTGTAGATCCTTTACATATTAGTAAATATATATCAGAAATTCTATTTGACATAATCGAAAGTTCAAGCTTACTTTCATAAAATTGCTCTAACAGTCTGCAAAAAATAATAAGCCGGATCCAATTCGAAGATTAAGGAACAACGCAATCTGCAACATTAAATGAAATAGATAATTAGGTAATTTTAGCTTAGCTTGTACCGTCCGTTATACATTAAACGTGCATTCGTAAACGTTACGCACGCGCACACGCATATTCGCAGCCGTAAAGGTCTTACGCGCATGCGCAGGAAGTTTGTAGCTTTGAGGTTCGGATTATGGCTGTCCGAATTAACGACTTTTGACTGTATAAATTTTTATTTTAGTTCTAACACTAAACACATTTTCCTAAAAATTTTTTTAATTAACCTTAAATGCAAGTTTTTTTTTTTTTTTTTTTAAATTAAAATCTTTTCTTTAAAGGGGCCCTTGGGCTGACCTTACTTGAAATTTCAAAGTTACAGATGTGAGCAAAAGAACTTAATTTTTATAAAGCCTTATAATTAATATATATATATATATATATTTCTGTAGACAAGGATTTCTAAAATACATTGGTTTCTAGATTTTTTTTTATTTTTTATAAAAAATTAAATTTTTTAAGAAAAAGTTTAATTTTTTTTATTATTTTATAAAAAATTAAATTTTTTAAGAAAAAGTTTAATTCTTGACTTTACTTGCTTTGTTTCTTAAAGACTTAATTAGTATTTTCCTTTTTGAACTTTATATTCTTAAATGTTAATTTCTAAGAGTACAACGTTATTGGAATTACTTTTGGTTTTGACTTTTACCCTTGGCCGATGAATGAATGACGAAACACGAATTGAATGATTGGAGAGTTACGTTTGGAGGCAACTTCCCCTTGATAAGTCTGTCTCCTGCCTACTCTACGATCATTCACATATGCATTTTTAAAAAAAAATGTTTAATTTAATTTTAATTTATTAAATTAGTAGATTTAATTTTCATGGATAGATTTTTACACTTGATTTGCTTATGCTTCTGAATTTAAATGATATTGTAGATTAGTTCGAGAATTAATCTTTTACATGTTTGCATATTTTTAAATTATTTTAAATTATTTTGGCTTTTTTCCTTTTTTTTAGAATTTAAATTTGCTTTTCTACTTTTTTTACTTTTATACGTATTTGTTTTAGAATTTAAATTTGTTTAAATATATATATATATATATATTGCTTTAATTACAATGTTTATATTTCAGAGAACTCCTTTCAAATGGATAGACAGTTAAATTTAAACAGAAAGAATAAAAATGATGATGGCACAGCAGGAAACTCATCACTAGCAGGATATAGCACTCAAAAGAGTAGGATTTAGCTCAACAAGAAAAAGAAATTTTCTTGATTCATTTTTATCATTTTGATTTTTTACACTTATCATAATGATATGAAACAACTTATTTCCTAAATTATCAATGAAGTTTTAGCTGCTAGCAGCACGAAATCATCCAAACAATAATGACATCTTAGTTTTAACAAACACGTAATGTACTGAAAAAAACCAAAGGAACACTTTGAAAAACTTTTAAAATCAAATACAGAAAAATAATGATTTGAAAAATTTTTTGCTATCAACAAAAAATATTAAATACTAACTTCTAATAAAAGGGGAGAGAAGAGAAAAGAATAGACTCCCCAAACAGATCTAGTGTAGCCTGTTGCAATAAAAATATCAGAAAGTATTCATAAAAAAGTATGAAGATGAAATCTGTACGGTTTCCAAAAGAACTGTAATTAGTATTCACCAACTGCAGCAGCTTATTAATAGACTTTACAACAGCCCAAAATTTGCAGTTCAAGTTGATGAAATAACTGATTTTTCCTAGTTGACACAATAATTAGTTAAGATAAGTGAAGGAAGTAGACACTGTGAATTATTGTTCAGGAGCATGCACAAGAGGGCTAGATATTTATTCATTTTAAGATTTGATGATTTTTTTCGGAAGTGAAGGTTTAAAATGGATTAGTTGTGCTGGTATCTGAAGATGAAGCTGGGGCAAACTGGGTGAAAATATAGGATCTGTATACTGTATACTGGAATATGTGATTTTTACTTTCTGGATGATGCATCAGGAAGCACTTGTAGATCCCCCCCCATGGGAAAAAAAAAAAAAAACACTAAGACTAAATGTTTTACTCTGCCATGTTATGAAAATGATTAATTTTATAAAATGCTGGGTGGTTAACATTTGTCTTTCTCAAGCTTTTGAAAGATATGAGTTCTCATTATCAAACATTATTGCTAAATGAGGAAATATAGCGACTATTTGAAGAGATTGAATTTATACAGATTATTATAACTGAAAGACGAAACTATTATTTTTTCAACTGAGCAGAAATCCAATTTGGGTATTTTTTCCATGATCAATTACAGCATTAAAACTGCATTCATTGTCATATATTTTTAAAAACTGGATGATTCAACCATTTCGTTTCATAGAATCGGTTGTAACATTTACATTAAAATAAAAAATTAAATGTTTCATTAAAAAAAATGGCAGTATGGGAAAATTTAGTGGAAAATGGATCTTTAGATATATTGATAGCTATAAATGCTTTCATAACTGAAAATTATCTTTCCAAAGATTTAATTCTGAAAGTTGTAAGTGATCACTCAAAACACCTGGAGACTAAACAAAACTACTTACTTTCTAATTTTAATGTTGAAAAAGATAATTGGGTCAGTTACTTAACATTAAATGAAGAAGAATTTTCTGAATTATTGAGTGACACCGGTTTAAAACTTGAGTTTTTTAAAATAACTGTTAAATGAATTTGGACTGGAATTATGTCTTCTGAAATGGCATTAAATGCACTAACATTTCGCACTATGTATTATCTAAAGTATTAACATATATATATATATTAAAAAACAGTCATTTCTAAAAGATGTCGAAGAAGCTCCATGTTTTGTAATGTCAAATATTCAACCAAGATTTAGGTCTTTAGATAAAAATAAACAAGCATGCATAACTCATTGGATTATTATGAATATTTGGCTTTGCCTTCAACACATGGTAAAACAACATTTGTTTACATAGTAAAGAATTGTTAATAATTTTTCCTTACCATTAAATATCACCAAATGTTTTAATTCATGTTTATATACCTCTATACCCAAGGTAGCAAAAATAGTTGCTTGAGTAAAAGCAACTGTCAAGTTGCAAAGTTTGAGAACTTCACTCTAGTTATCAAAGTGAATTCATTTTTATCAGATGACGTAAATTATTAAATACCATTCAGAGAAAGATATGATGGTTTATTCCTCATTTTAAACATGATACTAGGCATAATTAATTAGATACCATATATGAGCACCAATGTTTATTAGAGCTTTATTCAAAAGATGATCAAAATAATACTGATTTAATTTTCAAAGAAAAGAGCAATCTTGTGCAAAATGTTTCCAAAATACATACACATACAAAATAAATAAATAAAGATATAATTCCAACATATCTTTAAAAGGTTCAACACAGCGCAACAAAATATTTCCTAAAATAAATGTTTAAAGTTATTGTTAGAAATTGTTATTTTTTTCATATCTTATTAATATTGGGTAAAACTGTTAACATATCATTTCTGTTAAATTGCATAATATGCTAATTCATTTTAGTGTAAATAATTTTGAATATGGGATTTGTGTGGAAAATTTATTTACAAGAATTGTTGATAGGTAAACTTTAAAACATTTTAAGATAAATGTGAAAGGAGAACATGAGATTTCAACAGCCAAGGTGTAATCTGACACAATTACAGTAATATAAAATATGAAGACTTTTTTATGAATGAAGATGAACTAGTATACAGAAAGGTAAAAAATTATATACAGAAATGATAGAGAATGGTATACAATGTTAAAAAATTCCAATTTGATTTTCATACTGAGATTCCATTTTAACACCTGAAACTGTTCTAAGTAAGTAATCTTGAGAGGCATAGAAATCAGTGACGTAATTTCCATAAATTCAATACTGACAGTACAAAACTTTGAGCGTTCTTCAAAACAGCAATTCTAGATGGCAGTGAAAAAAATTTGCTATGTTGTATTCCATCAAAAATTTAAGTCACTTTGCATTCAATTTTCTTTTTTTAAATTAAGATTCAGCTGTGCACTTCATTCACTGGATCACTTTCTTATAAGGTTTGTAATCCATATTTTCCAGCAGTGAATTGAAATTAATTTGCATTTTGCCAGACATAAAATCTACAGAGTAAAAGTAACATCATATAGGAACATTTCTGAATAAGAATTCTGGAGTGGGATGAATCTTTAAAAAAGTCATAATCCTGACTTAAATTCTATAAAGTGTTTGATGGAAGAACTTGAAAGAAGTTAGAAGTACTCAAATCTTAGCATTAATTTGCAGCTATGTAAAAGGTATGGAAATCCATTCTTTAAACAAAATTACAAAGATAATTCAATATATGTCCAGAAAATAAGATTTAATATTTGACAAAAAAGCAGCCTTTGTCTGATGTAAATTTTGAATAAAACTTGCTAATTTTAAGAGCGATCAGCTCTAAGTCCCTCTTCTTCAGAGACTGAAATATTTTTTAAATGAAAATGAAGAGGTGATAAACATTTCATATCAAAAGCAGGAAGTGCAGCAAAGTAAAAACAAATGTAGAGCCATCAATCTAGGAAAATAGTAATAAACAGTGAAAAATTGAAATATTAGAATTCTGAAAGCATTTGGAATTAAAAGCATGGAAAATGCACTATATTATTTTCTGTTACAATAATTTTCATCCATAATTTTATCAGGTCAAAAGCCTTAATCCAGCCTTCATATAATTTTATTTGTTTACTAATGTTTTTTGTACTCTTAAAATTTTAGATACTTGCTGCATTTGATTTTGCAATGTATACTATTAAATAAAGTTGTAGAGGCATTAGAAATTTTTTGAAAGCAGAAGAGATGAAAAATGAGCAATGCCCTCACTGGGACTCGAACCACGGACCTCTCGAATACGCGTTGAGCGTGCTGACCACTACACCACAAGGGCATGCCAAGAAGATCGGAGAAATAAATACCTTATAAAGTAACAGAAGTCCTTGCGAAAATCTCCTTTTGTCAAAAGAGTTTTGAGTATTAGGTCACTAGAGGGTGATGCAACAGGTGAAAAGTATTCAATGACAATGAAAACAACAACAAAAACACAAATATGTCTATGAATTAAACTTTCCATCGAGAAATACACGAAAAAAATCATAATAAAAATAAAGTACAAGTTTCAAAATAAATTTCTGTTTTAGAACAATAAAACTTGATAAAAAAATCTTACTTGTATTAAAGACACTCCAAGAAATATTCCTGCAACAAGATGCAGGTTATGTACAACATAATCCTGAACAGCTTCAATACAGCCTCGAGAAAATATAAATTCTGCAGCATTTGTCACAGACTATATTAAATGATATTAGGATATTAGTTTTGCAATCTATACCTCTTCAAATAAAAAAAAAGAACATTTTCAACACAGAAAACACTCTTTTATAGAAGAGGACAGTCTTTAAATACAACGAAAAAAAAAGAAAAAAAAAATTTTAAACAGCAGTGAATTTTACTAACAAATACAATAAGTTTCATAAGTTGCTTGCATTATAAATAGACTTCTTTGGCCTTTAATGGAGACTAATCAAGGATTAACTGACACACTGCTCATTATAGAGCAACTGTCTCTTTCATGATACAACACAGTGCCAGTTATTTTAAACAGTTTCGTTCACTATTTGAATGAATTTGTGGATGGATGATAAGAACCATATTCTAGATATAATCTCTTAATTTTAAAAATAGACTTTAAGTCTGCAAGCCATAACACATGCATGGCTTTCTACAGCATAGACACCATAATTACTTAATGCAAGTGTCCCATACACATCACAACACCAATAATAACATAACATAATATCAATTTTGGACAAAATAATCCAACCCAAGTTCACACTCCAAAATACAGGTTTGCTGAATGTATGTTTTTGTGGTATTCCTATGTGTAATGTAAACACAGTATATCCCTTAGAAAGCTCTCCATGAAGGCATTGTGATCTTAATAGGTTTCCCAATGAAAAGGAAGTTTTAATTTCCTTGATGTTTTACGATTTTCTTTGACCAAAATTAATAATTTTTCTGCCAAAAATGAACTAATTGTCAAATTAAGTACGAGTATTTGAATGTATGTATTTATTATAAAATGTAATGAAATAACTAAGAACATTAAAAAAATCTACCTTAACCCCTTAACTGTTGTGGGTGTATATATACGCCTTGTTCAGGTATTATATGCAAAGCTTTGGAATGCAACATCACAATGATCTTGACAGAGTATGCGAAGTAGGATACTATTTCAGAGAAGAGGGAGAGGAACTGGAAAGGGGATGTTTCTAAAACAGTGAAAGTAATTGACTGTGTGGTTATTGCTCGTGTTTCTGTTTGTGTAAATAAAACACACTTTTTTATTCAGTATCTTCCGTTTTTGTTAACTGTTTGTGTTACTGGCTTCTTTTCTCAAATATGCCTGACAGTGATGACTAATGACTGCGTAGTTATTGCTTGTTTGAGTAAAACATACTTTTTTTAATTCTGTGTTTTCTGTTTTTATTTATTGTTTGTGGAAGGTGCTATTTTTCTGAATATGTCTGAAAGTGAAATAGCTGATTACTTTCTGTCATCTTCAGGATCAGAAACCTCAGAATATGATGTTACGTCAGATGAAGAGAATTGCAACTATTCTCTGATGTTGGTACGACTTGATATGGAAAACTTGCCTATGGCATCCAAGCAATTCAGAAGAAATATATGTTTTGATAGGTATACCGGTTTTACAAGGCATAACACTGAAACCTGATATTGCACTTTACTGGTCTAAAAATAAATTGATCAAACCTCCACATTTTGGGATCCTATTTTATACATCTTTTTTTTATTATATGAACATAATTTTTATTATACTTTTACTCTAAACATTAAATTTTGTATTTTCAGTTTTTCTTTTATTCTTTAGTTCGTGAAAGTAAACAGTTTTCAGATAGCAAAACTTGCATTTATTTCCCCCCCAATACATTGCATAATGATGTTGCTTCTTCAAAGTGCAATTGCTTTATACATTGCATTAAACCCAAAGAAGCATTATCTGTACTTGGCAATATGTGCAAAAAATCAGATATTCCAACATCAGGCAATTGGAAGATGTAATTCTTAAAGTATTTATAAACATGCTCCATGATACCCTCTTGCTGATAATTAATGTTATTCTATATTTACGATATTTATTACTATGTTTTACTCCCTGTTTCTGAATAAAATCCTTAATTTTTCTCTCGGTAAAATGCATGTTTTGAAAGGATTACAAATACCCAATCAGATTCAAATTACTGAATTTTCCACTTTATTGAAATATCATTTTTGCAACCCTTTCTCGGTAATTCTCATTTTTTAGAACACCCTGATATCTTTTCTTTGTTTTTTGCAAATACAGTAACAGTAGTAAGAGCAATGTTAGTCTTTTGGAATATAAGAAATATATCATAAACCACTTTATGCTGGAGATAGTTTATTGCAAATCAGATCCTGCCAAATAGGTTGACTGCATGAATGTATTCATGGTTTCTCAAGTGGAACAGAACCTTAAAACAGTTCACCTTAAAAATTCTTCAACAAAGGCATTCCTTCCATTAGGTAGATTTAATTAAACAAATAAAACTGACCAAGTTGAAGGTTTCTTAAAATTTTAATTTTGGATTTTATGGTAAAAATAATTTGTAAAGCATAATTTTTAAAAAAAAAAAAATCATGATTATAATTATCCAGACATCTTCAATACAAAGGAGAAAAATTATCCCCAAAACTGAGCCACCTGCTCCAAAACTCATATACAAATGACAAAGCTCATAAAATAATGGGGAGTAAAAAACATTGTTACGACATTGTGCTAATTTTTTCAAAAAATGCATTTTTTTCTTTATTAGAAGGGCTATGAATTTGTATTATTGACTTAAGCACATATTCATTTGGTTTGGTGTATCTGGAATATTGACTTATCCAAGGATCGAAAACCAAAGTTCCACTGTATATGAAACAAGAAAATTTTGCTCCTCACATCCTTAAAACCATAACTAGAAATCTGGTGATTAATTAAAGCATATAAGGAAAAATGAATTATAAACATTATGATTTACTTTATTAGAGTATTCGATGTGAATGGTTACATTTTTCTGACTGTTCAAAGTTTGATAAAAAGACTCATAAGCTACTTCATTTTTAATTAATATCAGCAAATTTTCTGACTGTTCAAAGTTTGATAAAAAGACTTATAAGCTACTTCATTTTTAATTAATATCAGCAAAAACTAACAGCCTTAATGTTTGTTAATACAATTTTATATTACAAATAAGTAGTATAAACATCTTACATTAAGTAAATCCAGAAATTTTTGGTCTGATATACCACCAAAACAAACAGAAAAAATTTTAATTACATTTTTTTTCAATATGATATTCTTTTATCTAAATATGATTTTAATGTTTTTAATGAGCAGTTTCATGCCATTAAAAAAGTAATCTGAAAGTTTGTTTCTGACATTCCATAACTGCTCTTTTCCCATCATAATTAAATAAATCTCTTTCCATGGTAGATTTCAGTTTAGAGCACAGATAATAATAATCATGTGGGCTGTAAGGAGGTGGTCAAGTTCCTTAAAACTAAATTGCTGTTTTCGAATAGCTGAAAGAAGTACCCATCTTGCAGAAATTTTGTTCATGTAGAACATTCAAAACAACCGTTCGATAAATCCATTCTTGCTGCTACCTCTGACTTTCCTCTTGAACATGATCAATAATTTTTTATGACAATGTTTCCAATGGTTGACCTCACAAGAATCACCATCTATGAATTCTCTGCCCATGACGAATTGTTTTACACATTTTTTCACAGTAGAGCAGGAAGGCCAAGAATTATCACACATGATGCGTGCACTGTTTCATTTCTTTGGGATAAAGACATTTAGTCAAAAATCTAATCACAGAATATTACTCTTTTAAATATTTAAGGAAAAAATTAGCTCATCATTCTGGAAACAGTTTAAAAACGCATATAATTTCCTAAATAAAAATTCAGAATTTCCTCAGTTAGTATCACCACTACAGTACAAGAGGAATTTATTGACAATTTTTTTATATGTGAGGGCATAAATTTATGGATCTGCTTATGTAAATGCCTTACAAATTTATCATTAACATTCAAAATATATCAACTGTGACAATTAGAATACTCACTGACGCATTTTGCATTTGATAGCCACACATAATATTGATTAATCCACTCTGCAATAAAGAAGTATATTAATATATGCAAAAGAAAGATTATTACATTAATTAGACTATGTAAGATAGTTGACACGTTTTGTACATTGACCAAAATTTATTCAAAAATCCAAAAGTTCCTTTCAGATATTTCTCCTCATTAAAAAATTAAGATTTTTCTTTAACTAATATTGAGGTTATAAACCACTGACAGAAACAAAATATCTAACAAGTTTAAAATAAATTAATTAATTACAATATGCCCTCTTCAACTATGAATTAACCATGCACTTCTAGTCCAGTATTTATTTGACATTCTCAAAATTAAAATGCATTTGCAAAACCTTTTGCTATTCTTCATGGTCACAATAATCAAAAAGGAACACAGGCAACTATGCTGACAAGAAAATATAGTAATTTATGAAAAACTGAATATCACTGGCAAAACACAAAACTGTGAGGAAAAAAAAATATTTCCATGACTCATTTTTAAAATTTTAACTCTTAGACAGCAAAGGGTTTTGCTAAGAAAGTTGTATTCCCCAAAACAGCCATGAAATGCATTTTCTTTTAATACCAAAATTTTTATTAATTGCAAATTGCCCCTGGTATTTCAGACCTGGATTTATGCACTTTTAATGCATTACATTAATTTGTTACTTCTGCTCTTCACACTTTTCATGTTACATTATACAAAATTTGTAATACTGAACATAACAGGGTTGCCTTTCTCTTGATGACGAATACACATTTATGAGCAAGTAAAGGAACTTTTGTCTTGTTTATGATGCTTTATATCAACATAGATTAAAAAATTAAAAAGAATATAATATTTTCGTCCCTTAATAAATGCAAGGCTATTTTTTAAAGAACTAAATTTTAGTGAAGAAATTATTTTTGTCTTGGTATACAACCTATTTCAAGTAAAAGGGAATAACAATATTAATTTTTCATTTATATAGGCACTAAATCTAAAAATATTACTTTTGTTTTCCTTAAGTGAAGACACAGCAGATATGATATCACCAAGTGTTTAGTCAAAAAGCAAAAGATAGTTATTGCAAAATATTGTGCTTATTTTAAAGATAACAGTTTAGTGACCATAATTTGAGTGTTTACTTTAAATTTTATACACCATAGATGTTGTAAAAACTTTACAGTGATTAAAATGCATTAAAGATGTTGCTGGAACTGTTGCAAAAAGAAGTTAACAAAAAAGTACAACAGATAAATTACTGTTGCATTTACTTTATATAGTTCAAACTGTTTAAAAAAGTGATTAATCAATAAGAAAACAATATACGTAGAACTCCCATGATAAATTTGAATGACTTAAAAGGAGTTGTAAAAAATTTTGAAGTTACTAAAATAAATAAATAAATAAAAATTTCTGCAATACTTCTTGCTTTACACAAAATCAGTGTCAAATTTAAAACATTTACCTAAGTGTAAAACAATTTTTTTCTATGTTGTCTTAATTTTGATTATATCACTTGTTAATTATTTTTGTGATTAACAGCATCATTTGTACCTTCATTAATGTAACGATAAACACATACCTAGTGTCCCATCAAATCTGCCCAAACCACACAGCCCTTGCATGCCCAAAGCCAATACATAAAACATGCCCAAAGAACTGTACCTGACCCATAGTTTTCAAGATATATACAAAAGAAAAGTATACTTGATTCAAGGGGGGAGGGGAACCTTTATTGGAAACATGAACATTGATATTTGTATATGTTTACATAAGATGTTCAAAATATCCACTGTCAATATAGAGGCATGCATGTGTGTGCCATGGAATAGCTGACTGCATATGTTTCAGCATCATGGTGCCCACCAAAGCAGAGTAGCATGAAGTAACTATGACACTTTTTGTAGTAAAAATGTCTCAACAGACCAATTCCTTCAGATCCATAAAACTGGACCCCCCCACATCCAATCCAGCAGTCTGGATATTCCACATCCAGTCAATCACATAAACAAAAGTACTAAAATGTGTCAAAGCTCCATCATGCTGAAACAATAGCCCATGTACTACCACCAAGGATATTGTCATCTAGGAAATCAGTTAATTTATCATGGAGAAATACCAAGTATGAATGTCCAGTGAGCTGTTCAAGTAGCAGATATGGTCTGATCATGTGACTAGTATGGTGGCCCACACTTTTACAGACCTGAAAACCCAATGCCTCTGGAATGGACTGCATGAGGATTGGACCCTGACCACATACAGCTATTGAAGACCCCCCATCATGTGTGAAATATGTTTCATCCACCCACAAAATATGTGCAACGAAAGCATTATCAGCTTCATGTTGTTGCAATAGTCATTCACAAAACTTAATGCATCAATGAAAGTCATCTCGATGAAGACACTGCACAGCTGTGTACCAAAATGGGTATAACCCCTCTGAATGTAATAACCTGTGCACAGTACTGCTACTGGCATTTAGCTTCCTGGCATGAGGGTGTGTGTTCAACTTAGGAGTTTCTCCCATCTACCAATGTATTGCATCTTCCCATGCTGGACTAAGCCCACAGTGTATTCTTCCACCATCATCACAGAGATTGTGTGTGGGGTGGACACTTGCAGTATTTCTTAGTCTGTCATACAAGCTGCATATGATTTTGGAATCAGGAGGTGTCATAATGGCTAGCAACAGACATACTCTCCAGCAGTTTGTAAGGCATTAGCATTACACTTACTGAAGATAAAGTACATATCACAATATTCATGAATGGAATAACATTATCACCATGTGAAGATTACAGGTAGCTACTAGATTCAGCCTTTTAAATATGATTCAAACGCCATACTTTCCTTCTGCATTTATCTAGAAAACTATGGGTCGCACAGGAATAGTTCTTTGGGCCTTTTAATATTCCAAGCAAGGAATCTGGCTGTGCAGGGTTTGGGCAGTCTCGATGGGATATCCTGTATCAATGCTTTTCTGCATTGATACAGAGTCATCAATGCATTCTGCATCAATGCTTTTCTTTAATAGACTCCAACAGGTGTGTATAAGATTAATATGTTGTGCACACCAATAATCAATGCCAAAAAGTCATTTCTAAGAAGACAGCTTCCTCATACCTGAAAATCATATGGAATAGTGGATGGTCATTTTAGAAAGGATACACAGCACATGTAAAAAAAAAAAATTAACTTTTTTCAAAAAAAGTGACACAAATATTTACATGAAGTTATCAGTTTTATGCATTAATTAGAGATAAACTCAAGAAAAATCAAACCTCAATATTATGAGGATTTTTACAACATGAGTAAGGGACAGCACATCTTTCAGGACTCAAATTTTGTACACTGCAGTTGAAGTAAATGTTTTTTGACCAATCCTTATATCCTTGATCAGATATTCCACAACACTGAAACTGAAATAAGACAAAAAGCAGTTATAGCAGCCTTCATTTATAACGCTGGCAAATGAACATATATTCCAATCTTAAAATAATAGACAGTAATGCTTAAACATTGCACTTTTACTTAATAGCTCATAACTGCAGATTTTGTTCCATTTTTTTAAAATTTCTTTACAATAATACCCCTACTAATGTTAATTAAGATACGTGGTTCTTTATTTCATTTTACACATTTGTGCTTGTAATTAACTTGCATTTGAAACTATCTACAGTTCAGAAAATGGTGATAAACAAAGCCTTATTGTCTCTATGTAAGAACTATAAATAATATGTATCAATGCATAAAAATTTATGCTAAATGCTCTAAAATGCCATACCAATCTTTACTACTTTTGTTTTCATCATCTTAAGTAATGTATATTGCAAATAGTGTTTGAAATTTTACGTGCGCACAGGCTCCTTGTATTTTTTACATACAATTTGACATCACTTGCATTCACAGCATCAATCTGTATGCTTCATAGTATGAGATTAAAATGTTTAAGAAAATCAAGCACTCCACCAACTGTGAAATAGTCTTAACAGTTTTTAACAACAAGGAACATGAAAGCAACAGATATTCATTATCAGATATATCAAGCGTATTGTGATAATATATGTGAAGTAAAGTATGAAAATAGGTGAGATATAAGAGCAGTTCAAATGAAAGTGGCCCTGCTGTAATAACTCTGCCATTTCAAGAGAAAGATGACTACGCATGCACCCATAGAGGACAGTGAGTGTTGGGATTGCAAGGGACATCATCAGAATCACATTAAGAGGCAGCGTTTGTATCATGGATGCCTCCAAACAGTGTCAATGCACGATCCTGCAATTTTAAACTGCAGGAAATGCAGGTGCTTCTGAAATCTATCACCAAATGCAAACTGTGTATGGCATGTAGTGTATGAAAGGCAGATCAGTATTCCGACAGTGTAGGGATTTGTGTAGTAGAAGCAGCAGGACTGACGACAGGCCACAACCTTGTCAAGTGCATGACAGTTTTTTTAATTAAATTTAAAATTTTGTTTACTAAATATTTATCAAAACATACATAAATAGAAGTAACATTGATGCAAAGGAAAAAATTCAATTTGTATTTATTTTTAGAGGTTGATATCTGTGATCTGAATCTAGAAGTCGATATCTCTGAGAATTTCTGGTGGTGACACTTTGCAATTCAAACGTATTGAGAGCAAAATATTAAACTTTCAGGTGAACATTTATTTCAAATAATTCTAATATGTTAAATTAACCACTAAATAACTGAAACAAAAAAGGAGCAAATTATGATAGACTTTTAAGTGGAAGGAAACTTGAGAATAAATAATGATAATTGTTTACCTTTTATTTATTAAATTTTTCTTTGTTGCATACAGAAAAAGATACACATATTTGTTATGTAAATAAACTTTACTTCTTATTAGAACTATCACCTGCAATACCTCACGGCATTTCAATTTTGATAGTTTGTGACCTTGAAAAAATATTACTAGCACATTTTTATCACAAGTTGTACATGCTCATTAGACAATCCAGCTCTTTTTTTAGACTTGCAATTCTGAACTGTGGAAAAAAAACTATTAACACAGAAATGTATTCCAAACAAAGTTATTATTCTTATGGCACAAATCTGTAACTCGGGTAACTCACATTTAACAGAAATGATTAATCAAACCTGTATATTCAGATTTTAGAATAAGATGTATTTAACAGTGTAAATTTAACTTCCTTTATAGGTTTTCTGGGGCATTATTCCCATTCATTTTCAAGGGCGATGAAAATGTAAAATTGGACTGAAAATCATTAAAATCTTAATTTTTTCAAATTGCCATAATAATGCTAATTAACTTATGAGAAACATACTTGTGGGCTGCATATGGGCCCTGAAGGGTGCCCTTTTGCGACCACTCTGTTAAAATACAAAAATGGCCTTATTTACTACAATTTTACAGTTATAAATCTGCAAAAGGGCATTCTTTTTTTTTTTTTTTTTTTTAAATCTTTTAGTTGACATTTTTTTTTTTGGAAGTTTCACAACAAAAGATTTGTCAAAATGTTATAAGACACCTAACAATACAAATTCATTCAACTGCTTCAAATTTATACACCGTATACACTTCTCAGATCTTTTAACTAAAATTGGATTATACAAAAACTATTCTTACCATTCATCAAATTAATTCTACTGTAAATTAAATTAATGGCCCCAAAATACCACCGCTCTAAATGTAAGTTTTTATGAGGATAGAACTGCAAGTAGAAATATAGGATGATTCTTTTTCAGTCAAAATCAGTTTCATTCCTTACTATTTATCTTGTTGACAGTACAGGTTACAGATCTTTTCAGTATCTGTACAGAAAAGCACTAAGAAATGGAAGCTCTATTCAATTAAATAATAACATATAGAAGACATGGCCAAACTATGGCTCTCTGACATCTTAACTGGGGCTCACGAGTTACTTGCAATCCTTTGCCCTCTGAAATGTGACTTGTTTTGAATAAACGTAGTTTAATTTTTTAACACAAATGGAATTTGAAATAGAAAACATGTAGTGCCACGTTTCTTTATAAGTTGCTAATTTAATTTCTGATATCATGTATGTAAAAATTTGATAGATCTCAAACTGCTGGCTTATTGTCAGAGCAACAAGTACATAAGACTACATATAATTCCACTTCGGGTAACTACGATTCCACTGCAGTGTACGTTGACATGTATAATTTAATTTATCATTTCTAAAAGCCTGCTTATGAGTTAAAAAAAGACGCTCTATTTTCTTTTAATTAACGATTTGTAATTTACTCAAAGTTGCCCAGTAGAAGAGTTACAAATTTTTATTTTCTTGTAACTTAACTTTTCTAAACACAAAAGAGTGGATATAAGAGGTATTTTTTCATATTTATATGTAACCATGCTAATCACATGTTCATTAATTTACTTAAAAAAATTTCTTTATATTCAAAACGTGTCTCATTATTTTATTATTATTTATTCAAAACCTATCTCCCGATATAAATTTGCACTTGTAGCTCTCAAACATTCATAAAATCTATCATGTGGCTCCCATTGTCTTGAAATTTGACCATCCCTGACATATAGCAAAATAAACCACTGGAAATAACTCAAACAGCACATAGACATAAGGCAAAGTCCCCTTAAAGACATGAGAAGTATAATATATAAATATAAAAAATAATAACATTATGTATCAGCAAAACATTAACTGGATTTGCACGAAAGAAACATCAACCTGAATAAAGTCTTGCAGCAGATGAAATCATATGCTAATTTTCAAGCTGATAAAGTCAAGAGTGGCCAGGCAAATTTAAATTTGAGTGAACAGGTTGGCTGCAAGGAAATTCTTGTAGTTTCTTTAATGCATAACATGAATATAAGCCAGTTTACCTTAAAAAATCCTCAATGAAGGCATCTTTTTCTTAGGCAGGTAGTCCTAATGTTATTTGCCATAATTAAATAAATAAATCAAGTTGATAAATTAATATTGAATCTTTTTCAGTAAACAGTTGTCACTCATAAAGTTGTCAAAAAAATTAAAATCACCTATTAAAATGTTTCCATTTAATAATGCTACAGATTTTTATTTCTACACACTAAAAGTAACTCAAGTGAGCTACACTGGAAAAAGTCTCAAATGGTTCCAGCAATGATCTTTGAGAGAAGAAGACTGTGACACTGAAAAACATGGCACCATGTTTCGTCTGATATTGTAAATGGGATATACAGTTACTAAATTGGCTATTAACTTTTCATATGAAAAATGGCTTATATTGTTGCTTATTTAATTAATGTAAGTTCTCAAAAACAGGCTTGATAAGTTATTTTCATCTTTTAAGATTCTGGAGACATGCTTTCAGCAACAATACATAATAGCAGAATTTCTATAAGTGCTCACATCTCAGGATGAAGAGGTGTGCAGATTAGAAAATTTTACAGATGTCATGGCTTTCTGAGTTTTGCTTACATATTTTCTTTCGAATTTTAACATTAAATTTGGTTTGATAGCACATAAATAACAAAACTATACATATTATACTTGTGGATATCAGTTTCCCTTAGAAAGTTTACCATGAAGGCATCCCCATGCGAGATAGCCCTTATGTGCTTTCCCATAATCAAACAAACCAATAGTTCTGGAGTATATAAATAAACTGTGCAAGAGAAAATTGGGAAGAAAACATGACAGTTCCATAAAAATTTTTAAAAAATAAAAAATACTTGAGCAGTTGGTGAAAATATGGAAACAACTGCTTAATCACAAATCTCAAGTCATATCATCAATGTATCCAGATGGAAGACTACATAAATTGGTTAATAAATGTAATTAACTATCTTTTAAATAAACTAGAACAAAATATGATGGAAATCCTTTTTCACTCATGCAGAATTTTGTTATTATCATCATAAACAGGAGATGGAAACAATGAAACTTTTAATGGTTTAAACAAACATCTGCAAATTTATTTAGTAGTTTCCCAACGATATGAAAGAAATCAATACTGCAAAACTGGCAGATTTCATTATTAAGTAGTCTACAATAATTACTATAAATTTTTAAAAGTGTAACAAGAAATAAGTGCCGATTTTGACATTTTAAAAAATGCACCTAATATTTTTTGAAAAAATGAGCAAGTTATTAAAAGTTCAATCACTTTTCTATGTACACTGCACCAAAAAAAAAGGGGCAGACAATTCTATATCTTCCGTTCTACTAGGCCGATTGACGAAATTCAAATTGCATTTTTCATGTCTCGAAAGCGTGACTTAGGATATATATTAGATTTATATATAGCATTGTTTTAACATAGGTATTTTGACACAAAATTGGACTTTTTCTGAAATAAGATAAACCAATTTTTTTCCATACTTTGATTCTACTACTTAAAATTATGTCAGACTGCCAAGTTTTGTAAAACTCGTATGAGTAGCTTTTAAAAATTTAGGTCTCAA